GTTTTCGAGTAAATCAATGAAATGTGAAAACGGAAAGTTGAAGGTCGATAGACTATTGGCCAGATGTATTTATATATTCACATATACAGATCGGAAATCCAATTCGTTCATAGATTATGTTCGTTAAACGAATCATCTAGTTAATAGTAGTTACTTAATTAATATATTATTTAATTTGATTATTAATTAGTTGGGCAGAAAAACTTTGATCGATAAAACCTTAGCAACAATTTTTATTATATTATTGTAATTTTCTAAGTTAAGAAACTAACAATAATTTGAAAAAATGTCTACATCAGTAGATGAATTATAAATTTAAAAAAAACAACAACATTTTTTTGATATTATTGACATAAAATGTGATATAATAAATTGCGAGACTGCATTTGCAATTAATAGAGACGTTAGTTCATTGTAATATATGTTAATGTATTCACGTCGTTAATCAATTTGCATAGTGATTAATGATTGTATAAGCTTCGATGAAGAAAAGGAGTTGATTATAATCTGTCATTTAAATGCCATTTAAGGTTGTAATGAAATATGATTGATAAGCTTTTTGTTTACTAACACAGTTTCTTATAGAGATTTTCATTAACGAAACATACATGAGAATAGTATTAACATTTTTTTTATATAATCATTTCAATAACGTGAAGCATATTACGTAATTATTAAGTATTTTTTATCTTTCGAAACGCTATTTAAAATCGTTCTATAGGAATTATATATAATTCGTTGCTGTTGTAATGATGTAACGTTGTGGTTGGAGCTTTGGATCGTCGGATTTTCCCGCATTATACTGGGTGACCCAACAAGTTGTAACCACATAAGTTGTTGCTATGGTGATATGCATTATATGCACGTATTTAAATAGATAAAATCATACCTCGATTAACGAATTGGTTAATAATAACTTCGTTAAGTAAAACTTTTTTGTTTTCACAGGTACACAAAATATTATGAGCAGCATGGAGATATCTTTCTTTGCAATTAACATGAAACGTTTCTTTTCGAACAACGAAAAATTTTCGACTGTAACTTCTATAATTTCGTCTTTATTTAATTAGTATTCGTTGCAAATAAGTTTTTCTAAATATTCTACTGAAAAAGTAACATTTTATGCATCAAAATGAACTTTTGTTATAAAACTGCACACAAATCAATATAGGATTTGTTTCTCTTAGTTTCAAAGGTTAACAATGTACGAAGTTCTTAAATCAATAATTAATAAATTATTAATAAAAAAAAACTATTATTCGCAATGATTCAATACAAATTTAATAATGATATTAAAAAATAAGTAAACAACAACAAAAAACGTTTATAATTACAAAATATAGTGTAAATAAAACCTAGTAATATAATAATTAAAATTCGTCTGGAACTCAAAGATAATGGTTTAAAAAAGTAATCTAATTATAAAATAAATAAATTTACAAAAGAAATCGAATTTAAAAAAAAATATATATATCTTAATAATAATCGAATGTCAACGTCAGGCAGTTTTCCATCACGATTTTGTTTGACTTTCCGACGTGGAATTAAGAAAATCGAAGCGAACGTAAAGCGATTCCGGGTGTGAAAAGCTTCCATCTGGATCAACCGTATTTCACTTTTCATTTTCAGCGTTCTAATTTTTATTTTGTCGTAATTTTTTTTATTTTTCGCATTTTCATACCCTTTATTAAAATCAATATTTCACGATTGTCACGTCAACACGTGAATAAACTCATTGGGCGGTAATTAATGTTTATTGTCCAATTAAATGAATGCTGAAAGTACTGTCCTGTTTTATTTCGCCGTTAGTGATTAATAATTAAAGGGTAATTAATAAACAGACAATAATTATATCTATAATTACAATTAATTTTTACAATCAATATACTTGGCAAGTAAGTATTGCTCTTTATCAAATCTGTATAACATGCTTACACAAGTAATGTTTATATATATTCAATGCGGATATTTCAACAATTAAATAAACTTGACACTTTACTTTGCAAGTAAGTATTGCTCTATGAAATATGTATAACATGCTTACACAAGTAACGTTTTTGGTAATTGTTTATATAGATTCAATGCGGATATTTCAACAAATAAATACACTTGACACTTTACTTGGCAAGTAAGTATTGCTCTATATGAAATCTGTATAACATGCTTAAACAAATAACGTTTTTGGTAAGTGTTTATATAGATTCAATGCGGATATTTCAACAACTAAATATACTTCACACTTTACTTTGCAAGTAAGTATTGTTCTATGATATATGTATAACATGCTTACACAAGTAACGTATAGATTCAATGCGGATATTTTAACAACTAAATATACTTGACATTTTACTTGGCAAGTAAGTATTGCTCTATATGAAATATGTATCACATGCTTACACAAGTAACGTTTTTGGTAATTGTTTATATAGATTCATTGCGGATATTTTAACAACTAAATATACTTGACACTTTACTTGGCAAGTAAGTATTGTATATGAAATATGTCATTATTAGACATAAAATAAGCATTAATACAAGTTAAACTAAAACGTATTTTTTTTAATTATATATCTTTTTAAATTATTTAGAGGTATAAAATAATTTGTTTTTAAATACGCAAACTGCATGGGAATACTGAAACAACGTTAAGCGGGGGTCTTACTGTAAATCCAATTAATGTTTATATTAAAATATTCTATTAACACTCACTTTATATAATTATACAATTTTTTTTCTTCCTAAATTTCCTGTTCTTAATATCGATTTTCTAATAATAACTAAATTATTTGAAGCAGAAAACATTGGAAATTTGCGTGCGTAGGTCAGTTCGAAATAAAAAAAAAGTCATGAATACTGTACGGTTACGTAGAGGATAGATTTGGTATTAATTGGACAGAAAACGATTTTGAATCGTTTCCAACCGGCCTCGCAGTAATTCGAAATTAATGTACGTCTCGTTTCTGTTTTTTCTTCTTCTTCTTCTCCGTGTTTTTTTTTGTTCTGTACTCGTTCATAATTATTTGCAGGTCATACGAACTAATCATGCACCGCATCGATTTTGTAATTATCGGCGGAGAGATCCAAGTTTAAATATAGTTTCACGCGAAATATCGTTGCAACACTGTGAGTTCCAATATGAAATCTAACTCTAGCTTTTATTGTACTTTTTCAAAAGTTTTTTTTACCATTTATTACTGAAGAACTAAACTTGATTTTCTTTTTAGTTGACTATAATAAAATCTATTGTATTTATTAATATTTGTATAATAGCTAAAAAGCCGGTAGATGGCGTTAGAAACGCGTACCATTTTTGACAGGCCACAGAATTTATAACGTATTAATTATTTTTTTTATTTATAAGATATGAAGTAACAATATTTCAATTAAAATTTGAAGTACAAAAGTCGTCGCAAATCGAATCGGCGTAAAATGAACCCATATTTACACTGAGGTACCGATATGGTTTAGTTCTATATAAGTGTAGAATCAGCAATTAATAAGCGTTAATCAACAGCGGCGTTATTGTGAATCGGCGTAAATCGAAACGGCGCAAAATTAAAACCTTGTGTTATACTAATATTTAATATTTTCATTTTATTGAATATATTTTGTAAGAAGTTTTAAAGAATTGAAGGATTTCAAAAATCAAGTCTTTTTTGGATTTCAGATGATGTTCATTAATCAGAAAGTAGATTGATTTTATTAATTGAACATCCTTAATGATTATTATATTTGTTTTCTATAATTTTTAAAATTATTATCAATTTTGTATGAAGTATTAAAGAGTAGGAAAAGATTTGCATTTCAATAGAGTCTCAAGTCACATATTGGTGAATTTTTGCTCATGATTTTTTTATAGAAAAAATTGGAAAAATACATATTACTAAATCTTTGTAGTTATGAATAATCATATTTTTATGAAAATGTTGATTTTGTCATCAATT